TTATTTATTCAAAAAATAATTAGTGATGAGGTTGGAGAGGAGGCTCAAGAGCACTGACTGCTCTTGCAAAGGACCCGGGTTTGATTCCCAGCATCCACATGGCCGCTAATAACCATCCACAACTCTAGTTCCAGGGGATCTGACACCATCTTCTGACCTCTGCAGGCATTGCACGACACAGGTGCACTCACACACATGCAGGCAATACACTCATACACAAAAAATTAATAAATTAAAATATTCAAAAATAATAATTACTGAATACCATCTTCTGTCAAGTACTTTCTAGATGTTTTGAGTGTCAGTGAACAGGATGAACAAAAACACCTCATTTTACCAGATGTGAAAGTATATGCCTGCAATCTCAGCATTCAGGAGTCTGAGACAGGAGGATTGCCAGTTCAAGGCCAGCTCAGGCTACACAGTGAGACTCTGTTTCAACAAGCAAACAAAACTCCCTGCCATTATAAGGTTTGCATTCTATTAGCTTCCAGTGATCATAATGAATAAGTGAATTATAGAGTGAGTTTAAAGGTGATCAGTGCAATGGAAAAAAGAGAAAGATGAGCAGGGAAGGGACTAGGTGCATGTACATATGGTAGCACTTGACTGTATCATCCACAATAATCAGGGTTGCCTTTTTCCAAGGCAACATTTGAATTGCTTTGATAAAGCAGGTAGGTATGTTTCCATTTGAGTGCCAGGGTAGCAGCAATCTTATTTTGTGCCTAATATATTCTGGTCCTATGCTAGATGCCTTAAATGTCATTTCTAAGTTTCAAGAAATCCTATAAAGTAGGTCCTTTAATCTCAATTTTTATAGCAGGGAACTGAAAGCTTAGGGATGTTAAGCATAGGATGAGAGGTCCTATAGCACACAAATGACTGAGAGGCAATATGAACTTTGGTAACTCATCCCCAGAGTTAATGGTCCTTCTACCCAATCTATGCTTTCCAAAATGTGATTTCCTGAGACATGATAGGAATTTAGTTAAAGCTCCTTGAGGGATTAATTAGAAAAAGCTGATTCCTGGGCCCCATGCCAGTACCACTTAATTCAATCCTCTGGAGAGTGGCCTAGGAATCTGAATGTCCAACAAGTGTCCTTGCAAACTCTGTTGCATACCGAAGATTGAGAACCACCATTATAATCTGTTGCCCTAGCTTTTGGGTGAGGCAGCCCGAGGCAGAGTATCACACTGCAGCCTAGGTTGGCCTGGAATTCACTCTGTAGCCCAGGCTGTTCTCCAGCTCACTGAGATCATCCTGCTTCGGTCTCCCAAGTAATGATATCACACATATGTGCTACTATACCTGGCATTGCCTTTGTCTTTTAACAGAGTGAATATGAAGGTTGTCATGATGATCCATTTCCAGTATTAATACTTTCAGACCATACTCAATGTAACTCCTTTACAAAAACCCATTTTGTGATTTGAGGGGATAGAACCCAGGACTTCATACATACTGGGTAAGAACTCTGCTACTGAGCTATAGCCCTAGACCCTAGCCTGACTCTGGAAGAATGTTAGCCTCTGAATCTAGATGCCTTTTTTGTACTGGGGACCAGCCTGGTTCTTTCCTGAATTTTCTAGTCTCAGCATTAGAAAATGAAGGACATTCAGAACAACCTTCAGGTCCCTGCCAGATTTCTTAGGGTTCCTCGATCTTTTCCACCAGTAGTTCTGTGGAGTGGCTGTTTCCAGGATGCTTTGTGCTTTCAAGGACAAGATCATTGTCACCTCTCCTAATAACTCATCTTTTTTAATGGGAACTCATAAACCTTGTGAAGGACTATCAATCTACACAATGGATAACTCTCAGCAGCCAGCAGATCCCCTCTAGTTTCATCGCTCCTTATTTGGAGTATTAGTAAAACTGGAAGCACCTTTCAAAAGGAAATCCCCAAAATTTTACATAGACACACAGACACACAGACACAGACACAGACACACACACACACACACACACAAGTTGGATTTTTGTGCACCTACATGCACAACCTTTGCCAAGCAACCATCATTCTTGGGATAACCAAAATGATTCAGAAAGGCCAAACATGCCAAGAGAACCAAACATTGTGATGAAATTAATTTTCTTCTATGCTTTAAAGAAATATAAAAGGGGAAATCACTGCTGGAGCATTAACTCACACAGATGACCAATTTAGAAGGCATCTTAAGTAGCATTCATGCAAGACTAGTCCTTCAATAACTAAAGAAATAGAAACCAAAGATGATGAGATCATGTAGCTAATATATAGCAGAGATAGTACTAGAGCCACGTTTCCTGGCTCCACTTTACAGACCTCAATATGGGGATCTCTCACCTTGCACCCTTCTATTCACTCTACTGTTCTATTGTTTTTCAATACATAGTTCTCATGGTCCATCTAAAGAAATCAGGCATGATTACACCAACACCTAAGAAAGATATACTTAATTCCTCCATGCCCCCCAATTTTCCCATACATAAGGGTAAGGACTGGTGAGATTGAAATAATGCATTCCATTGAAATACATCACAGAGTTACCATCAAGCCTTTCATGAACCAGCATGTATCTTGTCTTTATTATTTCCCAGGCACAGTACTATCACAACAGAGAATGTAGGCAGGAATGGTCCAGAAAAATTACAGTTTGGTGAGGAAATACTCCACAAACCAGAGAAGTCAGCAAAATTATCTATAGTAGTGGTGACTGCTAAGGAGAAGAAACATGGAATAGGAATATAGTCAGAACTTTGTGATGTGGTGTGGTGGTGGTGGTGGTGGGGTGTGTGTGTGTGTGTGTGTGTGTGTGTGTGTTAGTAATAGTAGCAGTGGTACTAACAGTAGTAGTAGTAGGAGTGAGAGTGGAGAAATTGGATTTTAGAAAAGGTATTCATGAAGTATTTCTTTAAGAAATAAAGACTGTAACTTGGGAATGTGTATATTACTTAGTGCCCAAGAGAATCTCAATATCACTCTTTAGAGAGAATGATAAAAATAAAGGTCATATTTTGAAAAGATCACAAATGATAGAATACTGATATTTTGCATTTATCTGAAGTATTCCAGGCAGCATAAAATGCACAGAAGAGGCGTGACATAACTACAATGACCTCTGCCTTTCAAGGAGGTCAGAACGAGTTCTTGTCAGTACCTGAGGTGAAAAGAAATTCCTGATGGTTTGTGGTTTCATATGAAGGAAAGAATACAGAATTTAGAGCAGAGAAATAAGATTGATGAGAGACATTATTTTGTTTAGAAAAAAAAAAGTCCAGAGAACATGAAGTAATGCCAAGACTACTTGGCAAGATGATACGTGACTTTAAACTTGATGAAAATATTGAAAAATTTGGATATTTGATTCATCCAAATATGTAATTAATTATGAGGATTTGGACTACAGTGTGAAATTTGTATAGTTGGTGATTAATTCAACATTTTTGAGAGCTTACTGTGTGCAATACAGGGACAATACTTCAGAGACACAAAGGGAAGCAAGACCCCTCACCAGCTCAGTGAACTGCTCCCTGTGGCAAATGCATTTCCTCTTCCTCCTGGGCATCTAGCCAGAATATAATTCCCAGCCTGCCCTGCAGTTAAATATGACTTACGGATAAGTTCTCGCCAATAGAATCTGACTGCAGATGATGGATGCCCCTTCTAGGTATACCCACAAAATCTAGGAGATAACAGAACCTCCTAATACAAGGAGTTGGAGTTCCCAAGTCACTACTTAGCAGAACATCCACTAAATATCTGACAAAACATTATGTCAACAAGATATTTATGTCTGCGGTGTTAAACTGCTGAGATTTAAGGCAGCTCATGCGGCCAAACTAATGTAACTATTAATTACCACTTGGACAGGCATTTGCACTCTACATAGTTCTTTCATATATCAATGATTCCAATAATGACTTTAAGAATTAGATCATTTATTTTTATTTTTTTCCATTTAAAATGAATTGAGTTGATGCTGACTGAGTAGTGAGTGACTTGGTCTCAATCACATAGAAAAGGCACAGACGGCAACTATCTTCAATTGCTGGTTCTCTGGTATCCAAAAATGGGTGTAACAAGCATAAAAATAAATGTACTATAGGGCATTTGACAGCTATAGAAAATCTCTTAAGCAGATTCCAAAGAGGTGGCTAGCATTCTTAGGAGAAGAAGCCAGGAAAGCCTCTAGTGGAAGAGGAGGGCTTTATTGTATTTGCAAATTGACAAGAGGAATGGAAAAATAAACATGGAGAATGTTCCTGTAAATTTTGACATGCAATTTGAGTAGAGAACAGAACGAGAGGAGAATTGGCATTTGTTCTACTGTTTCAAGGGAAGTTGGAGCAAGCAATGCAGTTTTATGAAGGAACACAGGAACTGGTAATTCAATAGAAATCAAAAAAAATTTATTGAGTGTCTACCAGATGTAGGGACTTCTAAAACTGTAGAGAGGATATAGAGAGGAGATAACAAGGACACAGCCCTTGTTTTAGATGTGTTTATAATCTGCTAGGGGAAATGAACACGGATGACTGCAACACAATGCTGAACAAAATAAACATCAATAAGAATGGCAATGGAATTCAGGACATAGATAAGTGACATGGGAAGGACACGGGAAGGAAAGTGAAGTTTCATGCAGGAGGTCGAATGTCAAGACTGACCTTGGAGATGTGATGTTACTGAGGCTGGTTATGAACACATGACTTTATAGGATTACAGAATTCCAAAAGGAAGTGTTTATCGAAATTTTCAGCAAGCCGTACTACTCTATGAACATATGATTATTATTGAAGGGACAACAAAACGAAGTTTGTAAATATGATATGACTGTTGAACCATGGAATCACAAACCTTTATAGTGACATCAGAATTATGGAAATTTGTATTCTTATAGAAGCTACCTGACTTCCAGTGAATTCACTCAATAACCAGCACTGCAAACCAGGAAGTGACAAAACTGATTTTCTTTAACCCATTTGAGGCAACTGTCCCTTGAAGCATCACCTACCATGAACAGGGCTTCATAATTTTCAATCATCTTCTGCACCACAGCTATGATGGCTGTGCTCTCTTCGGCTCGGGCTGAGCTCTGGACTGAGAATTCCTTGTCTGATGACTTTTGCTTGTGCAGCAAATTGGGTCCAAATATGGTGGCCAAGTTCAGAGATGTCATTTTGTTCCCAGTGACCTACAAGGGAAGAAAATACATGGACTATTCTTATGTTGCTTCTGAAAAAGCTGGATGTCCGAAGATTCCATGAAAGTTTTTCTTTAGTAATTTTTCTCTGCAAGGAAAATATCACCTTTGTCAGAATCCATGAGGGCACCATAATGTTCCTTTAGCTTCATGTTTGTATTGAAGATCATAATTCAGTAGTCATCTAAATAGTACAATACATAAAAAGTTGCAATTCCAAAATATTTTTTGCAAAAACTGTTAGTGTATTTTCAACCTCTCTGTCCTTAAAATTTTTCCAACATTTCCATCCTGTCTGTCCTTAAAAATACTGATGTTCGTTCATTTACCAATGTGTCTTATCCTCTGTCTCTTCACCCATTGATCTATAACATCTCTATTGATCAATCTACTCAACATGTTCTTATCACAGGCTAGGCACTATTCATGGATCACATTATTTTTTTTAATTTCCAATAATAATCATGACACAGTCTTTAATTTAGAAGGTTCACATCTTAGGAAGAAAATAAACACACCTTTTTCAGAAAGTGAGAACAAAGAATGAATTTGTCAAATCAAGAGACCGTGGTACCTGAGGGCACCACAGAGGTAGCAATATTTGCAAAAATATTTGGGAAGAAAAATAGAATTATCTCTGGTGACAAGCAGAGGAACAGGGATCAGAAGCATTTTCATAGTGGAGCAGACCAAAGCATTGGAAATCTATCAAGAGGAGTCAAGAATGTCACTGTGCTAGGAGTGCTACAGGGAAGGCATGAATGGTCAGCACAGAGTTGAGATTGGGGTCTCAGGACAAGAAAATTCTGAATGGAGAAGAGCAATCTTGGGCCCCAGGGATGGTGATTACAACAGAGCAAGACCACACAGGACATAATACCACAGTCTAGATTACAGCAGCTAGCCTATGAACTGCAACAGAAGAAGTAGAGGCAAACTGCACAGCTTCCAAAGTTAGCAGTGTTGAGAAGGAGGGTACACTACTGAGGAGTCCACACTTCAACAATAACAGAAAAGGATAAAGAAGCAGCAAGGGCTGAGGTGGGATCTATGAGACTTCAACACCCTTAAAAAGCAGCCGATAAAACAGACCGAGAATGGGTTAGATATTTGGAGAATATGAGAAACATGTGCTGGGGAAAGAATGATGGGGGAGTTTCAAGTGCAAGTTCTCTTGTGACAGATCTTCACAGTGACATTCCATACCCCTGTGGATGGGATTTGAGAGCAGTTCTGATGGTCTAGATTAGAGGTTTTGCAGGGTTGCAGCAGGCACTGAAAACAGTGAATGTGGGTTGTTTTTACAAAAACTCTCACAAGCAAGGACAAATAAGAAATATGATGGATGTGGAACTAGCAGGAAGCACAGAATGAGTGAAGAGAACTATTCCTTAGCCTGAAATATTTTGTAAATGCTGATGTTCAATGCGTTAATAAGTAAAAACACAGTAAGCATACAGAAACAAAATACCCTTAATTTCATCACTCCCTAGAGTTAACTGTTCATATGCTTTCCTACATGCCTACTGCCCAGAAGCTTCTGTTACTATTTTTGTTGAAAGCTGTAGTTGCTTATTTTCCCTTCATAATATGCTACATTGCTCTCTCAGTTTCCAAAAGTCCTCCATCCTCACTTTCTATTAGCTTTTAGCATCCTGTTGCAGGAACAGATGATGATATTTTAACTACAGCCAGCTGATGGGCATTCGTGTCATTTTCAGTACTCTTTTGTTATAAATAAGGGACAAAATTATATATTAGGGCATCAGTGACAGTTTTAACTTGGGGGTATTCGACAGATACATAATTGGACTTAAAGTTCACTCAGTAGGAGGGAACTCATGTGTGGTACTGTAAACATAGCCAAATACAGATGGCTGGAGAGGTCATAGGTCTTAGAGAAAACCCTAAGGCTTTCACATCCTTAGACAAATGTAATTTCTTACTATGTACTAAATATGGATCCTGATGTTTAGAGACAAGTCTGCCAGTCACCACTCATCAAAGAAGCTTCTTTTGCAACAGACAGAGACTATTACAGAGTTCCATAACTGGCCATTCACGGAGATTAAGTGTCTGTGTAATGCCCAATCCTAAGTGATACATCTACAATGGAATCTGTACACTTAAGACTCATGGAACATAGTGGAACAAGGGGTAGAGAGAGTACTAATGCATCTCTCAACTCTCATCAATGAAGCTCCCTCATGCAACAGAGGACAATGATCACAAAAGGCCACAGATGGCCAAAGTGTAGAGAATAAGAGTCTGCATAGTGTGGGTCCTTGGACAGACTTTTATACTAAATTTCACCCACCCAGGGCTCAGGGACCACTGAGAAGAAGGGGCAGAAAGATTGTAAGAGCCAGGGGAGGAGGTGCATGACCATATGGAAACAGACTCTTACAGGCTCCTGGGACCTTCTTCACGTGAACCTACAGCAATGGTGTCAGCATGCACAGAACCCATGCAAACTCAAGCAGACAAAAACCCATCTGGGGAAATGGGCATCAGACTCCAAACTTAACCAATGAACTATTGGCAGTTGATTACTGCTGGGTGAGGGAGAGTTGATATTCTTGAAGGGACTGACTCTAGATAGGCTGACTAGACCCCAGTGGATGTACTTGCACTGAGGGATGCCTGGGCACACTAACTTGACTCGATAAGTCTTAACATAAATGACAGAATGCATGAAATGTAGTGGTGGGGTTCTGGGAGAGTGAGGATGGGGGAGAGAATGTATAAAGATGATTAAGATGTTGTGAATGAAATATACAAAAATTCAATTAAATATACAAAAAATCTTCAAAAAGACATTTTATGTGCTTGGCTGATTACTATCTTGGGAGCAATTTCTACAAGTCAAATCGTTATAATAAGGAATATTCTAATATTTTGAAATGCTTGGCAATTCTTTTTATTTACTTTTTTTTCCACATGGGAAGGAAATGCTGGCTAAGTTGTCTTGCCACTATGGAATTTGATGCCAGACCATTCTTTACTATGGGGACTGTCCTACGTATGGCAAAATCGTAAGTGGCCTCGGATCACTAAATACTAGTAGCTTCCCCTTACCTCCGGTTGTGACAACCACAAGCGTTTCCAGATGTGGCTATAAGGACCCTGTGGGGAAAAATTTCCCCAGGTAAGAATTATCAGTCAGGTGTGTAACCTTTTATTTCTCTAGTTAACATCAGCTGAGACTCCTGCGGACAGTCAGGACAAAGATGTTTGTTTGTATTCTGGTAAGATCAAGACAGTCTTTGAGAGGGCATTTTGGTGCCTAGCAAATAATTCCAGAATCCTTACAAACAACCAAGGTGAAATTTGCCTAAGTATTCCCTTTATCCCATGGCACCCTAAACTGGTGGTATTCCTGTCCTGCAATTGCAGCATGGAACACGGGTTGCTTTATTTTTAGAAGGCAAGGGTACTTTCAGGTAAACTAGTAGCCACCAAGAGTAGCTATTCTATGTGGTAAACACTATGAATTTAAAAAGACAATGCCTCTTCTATAGGACCTTTAGTTTTTCTTTCCTTCTTTTATTTTATGGAAATAAAACTGGACAAGATTTCCTTTTATTTTTCAATTCTCTTCCTTGAAATTCATGGTTAAGAATAAAATCAAGTACGTGTCATTTTCAAATTCCTCATTTCAAAACTCAGAGTCATCTGGAAAGCTTCCCCAAACACCTTTAAAGTAATACTGGAGTTTTATCTTTTTCTAAAAACATAAAGAAATAGATGATTTTGTTTTCACTTAAAAATGTTTAGTACAAGGACAGTCCAGAACTCTATTTCCGCTCTCTGCTTCTCTGGTTGCTATTCTGGGAATGCAATACAATCTGTCTGTAAAATTGCACATAGATTCCAGCTGCAGACCAGGCTGCTGTGGTTTGTTCCTGCCTTTTTTTTCTTTTTGTTCATTTATTAAACTGTGAAGGAGAGTTTCTCCCACCTTTGTTCCCTATGTTTCAGCATATATATATATATATTCGCCTGACTAGGTAATATAAGCACTCAATGCTAGGCCATTGCTGCATGATTTAATTAGCCAGCCAATTCCAGGAAATCTTCTATCTTCACTAAATAAGCATCCTAGATCATTTTTAAGCCCTGTATAAATAGCTCACATTTATTAAAAGTCTAGCATGTCCAGACACCAGACTAGGGGCTTTCCACAGACTATTTCAACTCATTCTCTAGATAAGCTTACATGTAAGGCAGCTGTTATCATTGCAAATTAATAGAGAGTGTGGCAGTGAGTCCCGCAGCCAGGAGGATGTGGTGCAGTAGGAAGTGAAACCATGCAGCTGTGCTGGTGCTAGCCTGGTGTTAGCCTTTTATACTCTTCCTCATATGGGCGTACCTCCTGCTCACTCTTGCTTGGCAGACCCAATCACAGCATGGAGAGATGGGAAATTGAGCTTTAAAGCAAGACTGGAGGAGGCTGCTGCAAGGGTGGCCGGGTCCTGGCAAAGTTTCAAAGGAATTTACCATGTCCTAGAGGCAAGTGCCTCCTCAAAGATCAGAGAGCATGGTTCCACACAGAGTGGTGTTTTTTTTTTTTTTTTTTTTTATTAAATATCCCTTTTGCAAACTTGCTCTAGCCATGGACTCTCACAAAAGCATGGTTCCACACAGAGTGGTGTTTTTTTTTTTTTTTCTTTTTCATACATAGTCCTATTGCAAACTTGACTCTAGCCATGGACTCTCACTAAACAAGAACATAGTGAGGACATTCTTGGACTCTCTGAGAAACTACAGCTCGGGATGTTTCAATGTTATTCCTACTACAGTTGTTTTAGAAGAAATAAAATGGTTCTTGTATTTGGAGATTTCTTTTGTTCTGTAAGTGGCAAAGTAAATAGCAACTAAATAAAACGGAATGAAACAAAGCTGATAGAAGACAGCAAATTCAGTAAGATACCACTATTTCTCTAGAACACCACCAATTGGTCAAGTATTTTCCTCATTTTATACATATTCATTGTTTATGCATTTCATGATCTCACCAATTAAGAATGCATTGAGATTTAAGTCCCTTTTAGAAAGGAAGTATCATTTTCACTTTGTAGATGAGAAAATGCAGGCCTTCCCTGGCCCCAGCTCTGCTTTCCTTCCTCTTCCTCTTTCATAACGACAAGGCTCTGGCAAAGCCTTGTGAGCCTAAAGGATGCCTGACAAATCTGGCTCAGTTTTCTTCCATCCTGCAATCCATAACAAAGCACGACCTCACAAACGCATAACACTAAGTAATAGGCAAGAGAAGAACTTGAAAATGTTCTGCTTCTTAATCATAATTTATAATTTGATATTTAGCTCCATTCTGCTCTGTCCATTCTCAGTCTGCTAATGCCAAGTCAACTCAAAAATACTAAGCAAAGAACCTCCCTTTTGTTCCTTTCCTATACCCATAGCTTCTACTAGAGGAGTTTAGCAAACTCCACCCCCTAGGCCATGCTTAGGTGGCACATGTCCTCAATCCCTGACAGGCCATTTGAAGTGTGCACTTTATTCAGTCTGCTCCATAGAGCCATTAGCAGGTCTTCTACCCCATGCCCTTCTCTGAGTGTCTGAAGGCACTGGTACTACATACCCTAAATTCTGTTTATCTTGTGCCTTACTGTCTCCATCTTTAGGATGCCACAGTAGTCTCAGAATAGTTATTGGGAAATCCCTGAACAGTAATAATTGGTTTAGAATGATAGAGAGATGCAGAATATGCTCAGGGCATACATGACTTTTTTTTAAAGTGAATCTTTACATGGAACATTTCTAAAAGAGTTCCTGTTTTCTATACTGCCATTGATACAAAAGCTTCCTAAGTCAGTCTCTCTGTCTCTGTTTCTCTCTCTCTGTCTCTGTTTCTCTCTCTCTCACTCGCTCTCTTCCTGCCCCCCTCTGTGCGTGTCTCTCAAATAAATCTACAACACAGATTATATAATCTGTTTTCAAATCCTCCCCAAACTCATGTCTTAACAGGATCAATCATCTACCCACAGAGGCATTCGGTCTCCATGAATATGGCCCAATTTCCTTCAGGATGACATTTTCCAGTCCCTTCTAACCTTTTGAAGGAAGTAATTCTGTCCTTATACTTTCCCTCTTGTTTTAATCATTGGTTCTTTGTCCTTCATTTGGTGGAAGGTTTAGAGGAAAAGTGTCAGGAAACCCTTGTAACTCCTCACATCATTGTACAGTTTTACTGTTCCCTGTGGTGTTTCATTTTCCTTATACAAAACTTGGCCTCTCTCAGAGTGTTATCTGAGATAAAGCCTTGATAAGTCTCAAACTCCTGAGCTAAACTGATCTTCATACCTAAGCCTCACAAGTAGCTGGGACTACTGGCTCCCATGATCCTTCTTGGGTGCTCTCCCCAAATACAGATTAGGAAGTCCAGATTATGGAAAGTTAACAGATTTGTTCAAGAACAGTCAAGTCAATGAATTATAAAACTACCAGATGTTCTGAACCAGAGGTGACTTTGACTCCCCTTGACATAAGAAGAGACTCGGTAATCTGTGGAGATGATTTTGGTTGTCACAGCCTCTGTGTGTGTGGGTGGGTGGGGGTTAATAGTACTTCCATCTTCTAATAGAAGCCAGGGATGCTCTTAACAACCTGTAATGCACAGAGCAGCCCTACAATGAAGAATTACTTGTTATAAAAATCAATTCTGCAAAGCTGAGGAACTCTGAGCTAGTGTTTGACATGGTTTCTCAGAAACAGACTGGCTGGGGTTTGAAGCACAGTTGACCATTGACTTGTCAATAGAGTTCATCTGACCACTAATGAATGTGATGATTTTGTATAAATTAGTAAAAGACTTTTTCTCAAAGCTTCTGCTTTTACCTGCTGGGATACTGTTCTAGAAAATCTGCAAACCTACAGTGACTATAGGGTATATGGCACAGCCCCAGAGTTGTAAACTGTACTAATGTTCCCCTTACATGACCCTGGGTAGAAGCTCTCTGTGAGACATGGGCTGAATTATCTAATCCCTGTCCCTGAGTTTCCACTTCTGAAAAGTGGGCACAATAATGTCTTGCCTGTTAGACTGGCACAAAAACAGCACATAGTAGGAGAGCTAAGACTGTAGCATGTTGCAGTTCATCTGTGCTTTTATTCAGGAATACTGTCTTCTTGGCACAGGTAATGGAGCCTTGTTGAGCTTTGGACTGAAAGGACGTCTGAAAATTATTCCTAAAAGGGAATCTGGTAGCAAGTTGGACTGAACTTTTTGCTCCCCTCAGTGCCTTCTTGATCACTCAAGACTCAACTTTCTCCTTCTCACATAGTACTTAAGAAACATCAGAGAGGCAATTGGCATACCTTCCAGCTGAGGGCTCTGTTTTTACACAGTCACCAGGCCGATGACTCTATCACTTTTATTATATGGATAAAGGCTGACACCCAGACGGATAATATAGCTATGTAACAATTATGAGAATTATAGTATTCTCACGGAAGAGCTGTGTGTGCTGAAGTAAGGTTTCGGGGCCATATGATGAAACCTGGAGGCAGCAGGGCTTTCACTAATTATAACTCCCATAGAGATAAATGACTAAGTTGGGAGAGTTCCGTTCTCACACTCATGGTGGGAGAAGCAGGAAAAATGCAGAATTGCCTTTTTGGACTATGGTGAAAAAAAATTATATATGTCCATGCCCTGTGGGAACTAAGTTTGACAAGCACAGAACTGAATCCATTATACAGCTGAGCTCTGCTCAACAAAGACTTAAATAATAGCTCTGTGGTTAAGTGAGTTTAGAATGCCTCTGGCTCCGTTTCTGTTGATTTACAGAGTATGTTAACCTATTAACAGGTCTGAGACCTCCTGGGAAAACCAGCGTCAGAGAGAAGCATGATCACATGGGATGAAAGAAGGAAAGGCGTCTCCTGTGAGGGTGAAGTTGAAACAGGGTGCCTGCTAGGGTGCCATTTAAAACTGAAACCGGTGTCCCTTTTGTCCAATGATGAAATTATAAAATATCTGGTAGTGTGAATGTGACAAAGAGATCCACAGATTGCATATGGGAGAAGGAATCACAGTGGCCCTGAGTAAGAAACAGTTCTAAGTAGACTATATCTGAAGGGTCCATGGGACTATGTGAACCTACCTCCAGAAGTTGTCTGTAGGTAACACAGAGTTACAATGACAAAGATCAGTACTTTCAGTCTCCTCTATACCTGGTTTAGGAGCAGAATAGACCCCTATCCCATTCCACAAATCCCTATTTTGGAGGGGTTATTTAAAGCACAAAAGGATCTCTTGCCACTATTGCAGATGAGATTTCCAGGGATGAACTAGAAAAACTAAAGTGAGGATATCATATTTTGACCGCAAGTCAGAGGAACAACTCAAGCTAGTTAAGAGTGGTAACCTCCTCTCACTGCCGTATTTACTTTTATGTAATTTTTAATTCCTCTGTAGCTAATTGTTTATCTTCCTCTTACATATGGAAATTTAGAATCTTGAACAAAGCATCTTTATGGAAAATGCCAGCCTCATTTTGAAGCATCATTGAAATTTACAAGCAGGTCAGCAGCTTTATATACGCTTTCAGGAACTGTCCCTCCAGAGAAGGCACTGTTTTATATAGACACATACATCAGGGATGATGTGGGGGCTTTAGAATCACCATGGAAACAAGTCCATCTTTGGGCACATCAGCAAGGGACAACTTACATTACATTGAGATGGGAAGACCTACCCTAAATGTGGGTGGTACCATTCCCGGGACTGTGGTCCCACACTGAATATGTCGTCCCACACTGAATGTATATCTGCTTCAGGCTTCAGCCACCTTGACCATAATGGACTGTACCATTGAACTGTGAGCCAGAACAGACCTCACCTTCCTTAACCTGCTTTTGTCATGTATTTTGCTACAGCTGTGATACAAGTGACTAGTGCAAATGAGGAGTCATCAATTTTTAAATGTGGGGTCATATTGATGGTTGGAGCTTTAATGACAACAGTTATAACAACAGAAGAACAAGGAAAGGAAGTCTCTGTGTTAATGGTAGCATACCTCTTGCCCATCTTTGCTGACATTATCATCGGCATGCCTGGCCACAATGGAGAGGAACTGTAGTAGGCGGTGGAGGGTGTCGCAGTTGCAGGGAGGTAGAAGGTAGATGAGGAGCTGCAAGGTGCCCAGCTGTTCCTCTGGCTCCAACACTACACAAGGCAGAGAGAGGCACTCTAAGTAAGAACAAGGGGAGCTGGCGCTGTTCAGGTATGAGGACCCCTCTTCTTTCAACATCTGCCTTAAGATGTTACCCAGGCCAGCCCCACTTCATGCGTTTACCCATTTTCCCCACTACTTTGGCAACTTAGCTACAAGGCCCTATGAAATTCTAGAAAGCACATGGACTTAACAAAATATGCTATCTAGAAACTTCATGAGAAAGATAACCCACTGCCTTATTTCCTTTACCCTCCTTTCTCTTGTTTGTTACTCATTCTGACTTATTGGATTTTAGTGTACATTAAATATTAATAACAATGGCTGATCACTGGGGAATGCTCTGAAATCTGAGTTTATAATGCATTTAAAGCCCTTTTCTCTTGAAGAATGCACAAGGGACAGAGTTTTTTGGCAGTACCAAGACATATCACAGACAATTCTTTCCCAGCAGTGATGCCATCTCAAGTGCTGCGTTACAGGAAGAAATGTGTGCAGGCTGACACAGCTGTGACATATCACTTCTCCTTTTCAGACTGCTTTTTTCTGTGTGGCTTCAGTATGCAGAGCCAGGAAAGGTTCCTTTGAAAGTACTGCCACTGCACTATGTCCTGCCCTCTTTCTTACTCTGAGCTCCTTGGCTCCATCCTTCCTCATACCAGAAGCCCCAATTCATTTTTAGGCACAGACTTAGTGAGTTCTTGCCAGTGCTTCAAAGCATCAACTTACAGCACTTTCTACTGCCCTGGGATCATTTGAAAACATCTCAAATTCTTCTTGGGTTTTCCCATTCATTTTACTGCAACTTTCTTCTTGCTAATTCTCCCGAGGGTAAATCTCAGAAAATCCCCCAAATAGCCCATTCATTAGAGACCAATAAATAAGGACAGAACTGCCTCTCGGAAAACACATGCACAAGATTTTCATGAGTGAGTTGGACATCCTGGTATTCCAGAGACATTTTCCCACAAATTTCACTGTGTTACGTACAGAGAGTGTTGATAAATGCTGTGTACAGCTCCCTGGTGAGAAGGGGATCAGGCATGTCCCTGAGGAACTCCTTCAACAAGGCTGCCACATCATGAACACTATGCTCCTCTTCCAGAGAGACATCAATCCCACGGTCAAACTCCTCACGTAACTGGAAAATCAATGGTTCAAATGTTATTCACATAAGGCACATAAGGCTACTTTGACAAAAAAGCACCCTAAAACCAATGACACTAAGTAGTCATCCAACCTCCATATTTAGTGCTCAACAAAGGAAAATTGTTGATGCAGAATTTCTGGTATTAAGTCTATACATATCACAAAACAACAACAAAGTTACCTCAGTCTACAGAGTCTACATAACCCAGTTATAAATACATACATATATACATATTTTAATGTGTTATTATAAAACTAGGTGTGGATTTTCTGTTAATGATCTATGTAAAGGGGCTTAGTAACAACAACTGGAAGGTCAGGAATAAATGCTAATGGTTAGAAGAGAATTTAGGTCAACTGTAAACGTGGGAGAAACTGATCTATTACACAGTACTTCTCCGTGTCACATTCAAATTTTGATAGTTTACCATTGTACCGCCATCACCACCACCACCAACAACAACAACAAAAATCCAAGAAGATTTCTTTGAACATCATGAAACTAAAAATGTGGATGTGATATTTGTGACTAAGATTTAAAAGATGACAATATCATGATACAATCTATCTTCAATTAGTCAGAGTAGTCTTATGAGCAAATACCAGAAATATTCTCTGCCTTAATCATTATATGAAGCCTATTAACATGTTTATCAGGGAGGAAATATGATAGCAGAAGGCAGTCATGATTCAACTCACTACTTTCACCTCTGACAGCTCGATTTCCCTTACGCATTATTCTCTTTTGTAGAAATAATGATTCAAGTTCATGAACTGACTGTGCAATAAACTTCTGTAAGACTTCTTTACTTCAGGGGTGGTAGAGCTGGCTCAGTGGTTAAGAGCACTTGCTGCTCTTGCATAGGACCTGGATTTGGTTCCTACTACTCATATGATGGCTAACATCTATCTGTAATTCCAGTTCTAGGTAATCTGATGCCCTCTTCTGGCCTCCACGGGCATTGAATACACATGCAGACAAAACACACACGACATACAAATAAAAATTCCAGGGGGGGAAAAACTTTTCAATAATATATTAAAAAAGAATTATTTACTTCCTTTTTTATTCATTCAATAGTGACTCATTTCATTTTACTGGGTCTCAGGACCTATTATGGGCCCTCAAAATACACATACAATAATGATGCAAAGTCCTCGTGGCTCCTCCATCCTTCAGACTAGTAGAGAGACAAGGTAATTACCTCTGTGTGTTTATGAGTGTGTGTGTGTGTGTGTGGTATGTGAACATGTGTTTGTGCATACATGTGGAGACCTGACAGGATATCAGGTATATTTATCTGTCATTATCCACCTTTTTTCTGTTCAGACAAGGTTACTGACTGAACCTGGAGTTCACCAGTTTTTGGCAGGATGGGAACATGTGAGTTCCAGGGATCCATCTGTCTCTGCCCCCAGCTTCCACCCATTCTGAAGTTACAGCTGTGTGTCCACGCCCAGATTTTTAAAACTAATTAATTAATTAATTAATTTTATTTTATCTGTATGAGTGTACTGCCTGAATGTATATGAGTGCATCTGTGTCATGCAATGCCGTGGAGGTTAAAAGCGGAACTGGAGTTAAGAGCGGTTCGTAGCTGCCAGGTGGGTGCTGGGAATCAAACTCGGGTCCTCTGTAAGAGCAGTCAGTGCTCTTCATGGCTGAGCCATCTCTCCAGCCCCCATGCCCACATTTCTTATATGTATGTTTTTATTGAGTTTTGTGCATTTCATACATAGATTTTTAAATGCAGGTTGTAGGATCTGAACTCAGGCCCTCATATTTGCATAGCAAGTGCTCTTATCCATTATGCCATCACCCCAGTCCTAGCTTTTTCTTTTTGGAAAAAATGTGCACTGTGCTGATAAGTGACATAAAAAGTGAGTGAGTTAAAGCATATTTCATACTTGGAATCTAGTCTTAAGTTACGACTAATTTCATTTTTATTTAGTATACTTAAGTCCCCATGCAGTTTCTTTTCCCTTTTTTTTGTGGATCCAGATAAAGCTGAGGAGTTATTGCTGGCACTCATCATCTCTCTGTCTGATAAGAATTATCCATCACTCTCCTAAATTGTTCATTGATTCCAGAACACTATTCTGGACAATCTAACACCAAACTTCTGCTGCAAGAACATTGTGCAGTGCTGAAATAAATCAAGGAACACAGTCTTATTGTGAAAAATGAGTAGGTGGCCAGTGGTTTCACGGAAACTTAAAAAGCTCAGGAAACATCACAAAAGAGGGAGCAGAAAGATTATAAGACCTGGATGGCATAACGAGTGGACAGGTCAGTGTGGACAGGAGACAAGGCTGCAGCTCTAGGTGAAGAGCTATAGGCAATCAATGGATGCTGAGGGAGAGCAAACCAGTTTTCTCCAGGGACTAGCCCTGTGATACATTATCCAATGCCAAGTGGTCAGTCCTAAATACATACACATACAAGCACCACTAAATGGACTCAGCAAAGTTTCTATGTATATACATATCATCTATCTATCTCTCTATCTCTCTATCATCTATCATCTATCTGTTTATGCAACAATAATAGTCAAAAGAAGAGGTCACAAAATTGAGAGGGAGTGGGGGTGAGAAGAAAGAGTTGGAGGGCGGAGAGAAATGAATAGAAACAATGTAAATATAATACTTGTGTATGAAGTTCTGAAAATATAAAACATAGGGTTTAATTAATTTTATTTATTTGTATTTTATGAGTGTGAGTGTTTTGCCTGCATGTATGATGACAGTGCACTTATGTGTCCAATGCCCACAGAGGTCAGGAAAGGACATTAGATCCCCTGAAACTGGAGTTACAAACAGTTGTTAGCTGCCATGTGGATGCTGGGAACTGAACTCAGGTCCTCTGCAAGAGTAGCCAGTGCTCTTAACTGCTGAGCCCCCAAAATAGGCTTAAAAATTGTTTCTGCAGAAGTGAAGGCATAAATGTAGCATCAGATGTGATGACAGTATGAGTGGGATTTTCATAGCACATTTTGTTAAAACTGGGCACTTGGTAATTATTTCCTATTGACTAACAATTATCCCGCACTTTCTGAGTCTTGCTTTTACAGTTAACCTGTTTATAAAATAGTTTTCTTTTGCCAAACATGGCATGGACACATCCAAACATGTTCTTTCAGATGTTTGACCTCAACTTACTTTCCTAAGCTTCTGAAGTGTATTTCATTTTCCAGGAAGGAATTATATTATAATTGCTTGGAGTGTTATGAAAACATATTCAGAAGTGAATTTACATAAACTTGAACTTTGGTGTGACTAGCCACTGAACACACTTTTTTTTGTATTGATCCACTTAGAAAATGTGATTTCTTTTGGTTAAATTTGTTTTGTAAACATGAAAATTTCCCTTTTTTCTGTTTAAAATTATATCAAATGATTATATTATAGTTTTACTGAATATGTCCACTTTGTTACAGAAAATATAGTTTAAAAAACTTGACATTTACATGTAGTTATTCCACTAAAAATCAAGTGAAATGGAAAATATAACATTCACTTTTCACTTTCCACTTACTTGTCTTACTCTCTTTTTTGAGCTTCCAACTCGGAATATCCCCACTGTCTGAAGGCCTGTAAATAAACAAAATCAACATTGTTTTTAAGCTTTGAGACTCTGGAGGAAATGAATGAAGAAACAATGCAGAATGCTTATGCACAGCGGGGATCTGCAGACCGGTAGTGAATCAAGCCACGCTATTCATCTTCTCCACATACAAAATGGTTGGCACTTTAAGTAGCAGCATCATTTCACATGAAATGTTTTGGGATAATTTTTTTCCCTTTTGATCCTGTGTATATCTAGAACTTCACCACAAGAAATATAATAGTGTTACATTTTCATCATTCAAAACAATTACCTAAATCTGAATTTTATGGGAACTTTAACTCTTTGTCAATTTTGAAATAGTTATACTTTTTCTTTAATCATAAGGAACATATCCTTATACAGCAGGTGGTGATTAACATAGACAACCACAACTGGCCAATGTGCAGACACGAAGAGGCTGCAAACTGCTTATCTCTGAATTGGACTCCTATATCAAACTTCTGCCTCCCAAGGCTTGGGGATCATTGCTGAAGAGGGGCAAGAAATATTGTAAGTTCAGAGGAGGTGGACGGCCCCAAGAAACAGAGTTTTCCAGATAGCTGGTCAGCTACTCATATGAACTCAGAAAAATGGTGAGAGCATGCATAAGGTCAAGTCAGACAGAATGCCAGCATAGACATCAGGAGTGGGTAAGAAACTCGAACCATACCTTAGGGAGCATTGGCATCTGATGGCTGCTGGGAAGGGGAGAGTCAGTGCTGTTTAAAGGTGAGACTCTTGGTAGGTTAACTAGGCTCCAGTGAATGAACTCACACTGAAGGGCATTTGGGGGACACAAACCTAATATATAGGCCTAATGTATATGTACATATTAACATATATAATTAATATATATTAGAGTATAGGAGATTTGGTGGGTATTAGTAAGGGGGTGCAGACACGGGAGGGGATCTAAATGTGATCAAAATGTATTTTATGAACATTCACAAACATTCAATATAAAGGGAAATAATCTACAAAAAATAGAAAAATGTGAGTATTATAAAGGATGCTAGGTGAAAACAGTTACCTAAAATTTCAGTTTATTTCTATTTAGCTTTTATTATCTATCTATCATCTATCTCTATCATCTATTATCTGTCTATCTCTCTATCTCTATCTATCTCTCTATCTATCTATCCATCTATCATCTATCTATCATCTGTCTTTCTATCTATATCTATCTATCTATCATCTATCTATCTATCAATCACCTATCATTTATCATCATCTTTCTATCTGTCTGTCTGTCTGTCTGTCTATCTATCTATCGTCTATCTATCTATCTATCTATCTATCTATCTATCATCTATCTATCATCTATCATCTATCTATCTACAAAGACAATGTCATGGCCTTCACTCAATAGTAGGGCACAAGAATTTTCATGACTTTTAAACTTTTCCTGTAAATGTTATTTAAAATGAATGCAAAATAGTCTGTTATATGAGTAGACCACAATTTACTCCAAATATGCATTTTTTGCTATTGTATATGTTCTTACTCTAAACACCTTTGTGTATGTCTTTGTTCACATTTCTAATCATCTCTGATCTATGTACTCATTGTGGAATTACAGGGCCAAGGCCTATGAAAAGATCTCTCTGATCTAAACCGCTAGTAATGCTATAAATAATTAGGACTTTTAAAGAGCAAGTTATGTATTAGACATTTCAACAATAGTGGTTTAATAACACTGAATTTTCAGTCAGTATCCACATAAGGCTCAATAATTGTGATATAATCAGGTTCCTTTTAGTGTCTTAGTCTATGTCTATTCCTTTTTCTATTCTTTTTCATCTTCCAATATAATTGATTTGATGAAGGAATAGCACTGAGTTCCCACTATAGATCTCCCCACCGTCCGGATTTAGACATTTTATGTTCCTTTCGCCCTTTAATTTCCTATAACATGACAGATAAAGCAAGTTTTCCCTGTTACTGCTATGGATTTATCCGATTGGTAACTGAGATCAGCTCCTATACCTAATATATCTCTTCCACATCTTCAGGAAACTCAGAAGAGGAGAAGCAATATAAATTATTTAGAGTACAATATAGAATACTATTTATTTATCTGCAAAATGATCCTAAGTGCCTACTTCAAAATGTATAACCTGATCCAATTAATTAATGCATATGAAATACATATAATAATATCTGTTACATGCTATTATATAGATAAAGACAAACTCTGAATGGACTCAGTGAGTCTTCTATATACAAAATAGAAAAAATAAAAATAATAAAACATCTTGGAAATTTTAAATTTTGCTAAATTTATATTTTGTTATTTTCACATGTCTTCTGAATAGTTGAAATGTCCATAAAAACCAAATATCAGAGGGGAATTTTCTACACAGAATGAATTTCTCCAAGTTGTTCAGAAATGCCCATTTTTATGACATTTCTTCAATCATAGTACATTTCCACTAGCCAAAGTAACCTCAATTTAAAGAACAGTTTTTATTAACTAGAAATTCATTGCTCTAATTCCCAAATTCCCCAGTTGACTATGATCAGTTATGTTTTTTGAATTTAACTTCACAAGGTTGACCAAATGACAGTGTTTAGACAACCAATGCCTTTTTTCTGATATAACCTTACAGTGATTTTCCTTAGAAAGAAGATATAGTTTAGACATTCAATAACCAGAACATAAGACAGTCACTGACAAAAACAGATGGACATTGAAAAGGCATGGATCAAACAAAGAACTGTGACTTTGCTGAGTCCTGTCCCAGAAATTGATGTGATCATCTTTCTCACTTTTTTTTTTTTTATCAGAAACTGAAATGGAAACTAGATCTAGGAGGACCTGGGTCTCAGACTTAGAGATGTCGGGAAATGAGGGCAGGCACAATAAGCAGTAGGCCTCACCCTAAAATCTGCCTAAATCCAAGAAGCATTATTTAGCCCTGCTATTCTGTGTCTACTTTCTGGAAAAAAAATGCTTAAGGAATTTTGACATCAGGATATGGAAGGTATTTGAATTAAATATAAGTGAAGAAAGGTTAGCTACATGAATATAAATGGAGAAAATATGAATTTTCAAGACCAACTTTGGAGATGGTGCAAAAAAGTTCTTGACAAATGCTTACAGACTAAAGTAATTCTTATCCTCTACTACTCATTTCAAAAACATGCAAATAGCATGTTATGAAAAATGCATATTTGTTTTGTTTTGTTCTCAGAAGTCTCACTATGTGACTTGCACTGGCCTCAGACTCATTATGTGTACCAGAATGTTCTCAAACTTGAATTGTTCCTGTCTCAGCCTCTCAGGTGTGGGGATTATAGGCATGTGCCACCATGCCCAGCAAGAAATGTTATTGACGTTTTGAAGTTCCCTTTTTCTAGTGTTTTAGAGCTGTCAAGTTAATATCTGGTCAAATTTGAATGTGTGTCCTATGTTTTTCTGGATTCCTCTGATAGAAATACCATGGAAACCAGGAATAGAATCAGGACCATGGAAAACTGATCACTTGTATTATTGCCTTTAAGCTCCAAAGTACATATTAAATATTCTGAAATAGAAAAATAACCATTCTAAATATATGAGGAGGGAGGGAAAGAGGGAAGAAGAAAGACAATTAAAAGCATGTTCAAAGTACATAACTGATACACAGGCAGGTGACAGGTTATCTGAAGAGAAGAACAGAGCCATGTTTAAAAATTTTTGTACATACAATTAAGATTTTAATGCATTAAATTTATTGTCACTTCATTATCTAGTGATTTCCACATATAACAAATTGTTTAAGTAATTTAAATGAATTCTTAACACTTTCCACAAAATCCTATTTTCGCAATTAATGAATGACGATATTGACAGTCGTCATGTCTACAAGGTAGGTTCCAAATGTTTTCTTTGTTTTCTCCTTTCCTTCCTTCCTCTCTCCCTTCCTTCCTCCCTCCTTCCCTCCCTCCCACCTTCTCCCCTCCCTCCCTCCCTCTTCCTTCCTTCCTTCCTTCCTTCCTTCCTTCCTTCCTTCCTTCCTTCCATCCTTCCTTTCTGGACTGTGAATTGACATATGGCCTTGTGCATGTTAGGCAACTGCTGTACCACTGTGTGCTGGCTAGCTTTAGTTATCAACTTGACACACCTGGGTAGAGGGAGCCTAAATTGGGGAACTGCTCCATTGAACTGGCCTGTGGTCATGTCAGTGAGGCATTTTCTTGATTGTTGAATGATGTGGGAGGGTATGGGTGGTGTCACGCCTGCCTAGGCAGGTTGTTTTGTATTGTAGAAGAAAACAGGCTGAGCATTGGCGAGGGAAAGAAGCCAGTAAGCAGCATTCTCCATGGCCTGTGCTTCAGCTCCTGCCTCCAAGTTCGTGCCCTGAGTTCCTATCTTGGGTTCCATCAGTGATGAACTGTGATTGGGGAGATATAAGCTCAATAAACCCTTTCCTCCGCAAGTTGGTATTGGTTAGAGTGTTTTGTCACAACAATTGAAAGCAAACGACAACACACTGAATTACATCCTCAACTGCCTTTGCATTTTGAGGCAGAGTTTCATTATGTTACCCAGGTTGACCTTGAACTCACTCTATCCCCAGAAAGGCCTTAAACGTGACATCTTCCTGCCTCCCCCTCCCAAGTAGTTGGGATTGAAAGCCCTGTGCCAACAGGCTCTTCATCTTTTTGTTTTGATTTTTATTGTAATGAGCATATTATATTTAGAGTGAAGAAGCAATCAAGAAACTTTTTCATGTTCATAAAGTATATAGTAAATATATAGCAAACAAAGTTAGGTGATGGATATGGCATTTTGATGAACCAAATATCTAAACTCCAGAAAAGGGTTAAAGAACTGTTCATCATTTAATATCATCATATTAACAAGCACTGAGTTGCAAAGGGATGGCTACAGTTATTTACAGTAGAAATTTACCGAGAGAAAAATAGTCACATTAGAAGCTTTTCTTTTTTCAAAAGTAATTTTGCATGTAATCTTAGCATGTAAAATTATTCAAGGCATTATGCTGTTTGAAGGGAGTCTGAGTTCAGCACAGGTGATCTTTTCCTGAATTTTTTGGTCATGGCCACTTCTAAAAGACTCTTGGGAGCTAAGCACTCCAAATACCATCACACCTCCTAGTCTTGCTGAGTCTAGTAACCTATTTTTTTTTTTTTTTTTTGTCTTTTTGAGACAGGGTCTCCCTGTAGCCCCAGCTGTCCTGAAACTCACTATATAGACCAGGCTGGCCTTGAACTCACAGAGATCCACCTGCCTCTGCCTCCCGAGTGCTGGGATTAAAGGCATGTGCCACACGCCCGGCTATTATTTTTATTTTATGTATATGCATGTATTGCCTGCATGTAGGTAAGTGCACCCATGTCATGTGATGCCTGCAGAGGTCAGAAGCGGCTGTTGGATCCCCTGGGACTGGAGTTATGGACAGTTGTGAGCTGCCATGTGGGTGCTGGGATTCGAACCCAGGTCTTCTACAAGAACAACCATATTCTTAACCGCTGAGCCATCTCTCCAGCTGCAGAGTCTAGTAACCTCTCTTATATTGGTAAACTTTAGTCACAAAAGGAAGTTCTGGTCCGAGGCTTGCTCAATGGAACACAGACCTGAAGCTGGGTGCATAAGGAGATGATACTCAATGGCTGATGAGAAAGTTACTTACCATGCTTTTCCAGATGCTGACAGCAGCTGTCCACAAGCCTGGGGACCTGTCTGTAAATAGGATTCAGACTGAGTTTTTTATCTCTGGCTTTTTCTTTTTTATTTTGAGCCTCAGCAGGCAAGGAGAGTTGTAAAGCCTCTAGGAGTCGAGACTGGTTGTCGTCCAGATCGGTGATGGAATCCACTGACATGGCACCCTGAAAATGAGGCACAGACTTGAAGAGTATAGGCAGCAGAGGGTAAAGCACCTGCTTCCAGAGGCCACCCAATACATTTGTTTACCAAGAACCGTCACTCTGAAAAATAACTCCGCTTGACTGAATTGTGTTGTTTACGTATTTATTTATTGATGTCAAGAACTAAATGCTTTTTGAAAAAGTTAGGAAATCTCCACAACATGGAGTAATGTATTGTTAGTTATAGTTTCAGCAATAGATAGAATTTTCCAAATGGAAGACAAGAGCAACGAGAAACACATAATTAAAATATTTTAACTCAACCACTTCATTTTCTGAAACAAGAAAAAAAATGCATACTCAATGAGTGAGGTAAAGTCAGAGAAGAATAAAAAATACCCAACTATGGCTGTAGGAAGTACATGTTTAAAACAGGAAGATTCAAATCAGGCATGGTGGCACATGCATGTAATCACAGCACTCTGGATGTGGAGGCAGGAGGATTAGAGATTCAAGGTCATCCTCATAGGAAGTTTGGAGCCCCTATGAGGGGACTACAGACACTATCTCAAAAACAAAAGAATGCTTGCATAAAACAGTCTTAGGTTAGTTTTACTCAGAAGCAGTGTAATATGCTTTATTAGGTGAGGCAGTCCCAGGAAACAGCTGTAGGGCAATGGGGGTATGAGGTAGGGGAACATTTTCACAGCTGTGAGCATTGTGGACAACTGGAGCTCAATTTTCATGGAGGACTCTAGGGGATAATGAAGATCATGCACCTCAGAGGTCACCTTGCTATGGGAGGAAGGAACTGGACTATTTACACACCATGTCATGGGAAACACTGGGTAAGGACAGCCTCTTATGATAGGTGCACAGCAGAGATGGCATCTCCTTAGTGTGTGTGTGTGTGTGTGTGTGTGTGTGTGTGTGTGTGTGTCTCCTATTGGTATACATGGGAGCTGTTGTCATCAGGGAAAGCTTTCTGTAAAGAGATGTGGTACTGGAAAATGGATGGCAGCTGGCATGGAAGCAATGGTACTGTGGGTGTTACAGCTACGTATCCTTCATGAAGACTTCTGTAAGAAATTAGCTGCTGGAGTCCTGGTAGGGCCTGGACAGAGAAGAGAGCATTTGGGAAGTCCATTGCCTTGGTCCTGGAGTCCTAGAAAGATCACATTTAGAGTTTTGATGCTGCTGTCAATATGGGTTTATAGACACTCTGAGACAATGACAGGCTTAGAAGCACAAATTCCTCTAGACTACTTAAATAGCCCATAATTTTGTTGTTTTTCACTTGGAATCACAGTCAATATCATAAAAAATAGGAGCTCTGTTATACCTTGGGGAAGTCCTGAATGTTGGTAACTGACTAAGAAACACGAGTTATAAATGGAGGTGTGGGTACAGTTTTAATTAAGGGGGCCATTAATGGCTGGTGATGGCAAAGATATAAGGCCTTCAGGTTAGAGGACAGGAAAAGAAGGCCTCTCAGTGACCTAGGAAATCTTAGAGATGCTTAGCAGTAACTTTGCAATTGCCAAACAGTTGTCTCGAGAAACTCAGCTTTCCAGGTTTCCAGTATGACATGTCAAATAACACAATGCCTAGAACATAGTGGTCACTTGATCATTGATGCAGTATTGCTACAGCATGGATTTGAAAGAGATTTCACAAAGGATTGTATGATTCTATTTAAGGGGAGACAAACTCGATAATTATGGAAAAAAACTGCGTATGAACAGTAATAGCCAATTCATTGGTCCAGGTATATTCTCAGTGGCATCTCAGTTTGAGTTTGTCCTCAAACCTCAGCATCAAGTACAAAAGTATCCAACCTGCAGCCCACAAGTTGTGAGAAAAAAATACATATGTTATATGTGGCATTATGACAGAATTCTGCCATCTACAAAGTCCACATTCAACAGCTACACAACCGAGTTACAAATAAATTGCAAATTTCCCCATCATTTTGATTTAAGTAAGCTTATAGTTTTGGGCCTCATCATGTTCAATAGCTGACCTGGGCTACATGCAACCCATAGGCTTCATGTTGGACATTTCTATCTTAGCAGGAAGTCTACCAAGACAGTAGGAGATAACAAAGGACCACCATCAATGGCAGTAATGCAGAATATTTGGGCACAAAGGCAATCAGGAGTGACACATCAGGGAAATGTTTAAAGTAGTGCTAACTGATGATTCCTAAGTATAACAAACTCCCACAATGTGTCCAGGTTTCACATGAACAAAGACTCCAGGTACAACCATGCTCATCTTTGGCTTTTCTCAGAATCAGAGGAGATCCTGGTCACTCACCCTTCTCCTGGCCCTAGGAGCTGGTTCTGGGGTGTTTGGGGATGTGGACTCATTTGGTGTTTCTGAGGTTGAGCTGAGAGATGAATTACTGCTTGAGAGTTCTTTGTTTTGTCTTTTATTCCCAAATGGGAGGAGAGAAGTCACAAAATCAGATGCATCTTTCTGTTCTTCCCTCTGTGAGTCCTGCTTGAGTTTATAGGCCCGGTCGTTGGCAATGACTTGGGATAAAGGCATTCCAAATGCCTGTGGGATGAATTCTGAAAGCAAAAAAGAATGAGATATTCATAGTTAGAGATTATCCATATCAGCAAAGACTTATTCCTACCACATCCCTAAGAGCAGACATATTCAAATGCTTGTTTTCTGAAGAATTGATTAATCAATCAACAAACAGATGGCTTTGTGCAAGGGGCTATAAAAGTTCCAGTCCTTTCTCATGGGGGGTTGTGATCATGGGATAAAGTGCAGAAGGGTAGAGACAGTCATGTAAAAGTTATAATAGAGTGACTCTCATGTGATTAATAGAGAGGTAATGAAACAATGGCTGAAATTCAGTTAATATAATTTGAGGTTTCCAATAACAGATCCAGCACACAAAATGATAATCCAAAGGGTAGAGGAGCAAGTTGGAAACAGCTTAAGAAGACTGTTCTTTTTTCTTCCTTTTGTTCTGTGTCCCTCCCTCATACCTTCAGCCAGCTGGGTTGAAGCTGTCCCTTCATGATCTATACTCAAGCTTCCTACAAGCATATGTAAAAGTTGACTCTACCACAGTATAGCTTGTGGGAGGCACAAGATAGAGTTTGTTAAATTCTAGGGACAATTTTGGGGAAGGGGAACAATGCAGAGCTCTTCGACTTCATTTGGCAATGTACAAAGAGTTGCTATATACATCACTGTAGTAAATACATGTGTATTCATATATATTGGATCCTCAGAGATAGACATCTTATTAGCAGTATTTTATAGATGCATGCTACAACCATTAATAATTCAATCAAATGCATTATTCTTGTTTGACTCAAAATTACATCTCCTAGAAGCAGCAAATTGGAGTCTAGCCTCTCCTTTGTTTTTATAAGCCCTGTGAATGAAACCATTATGATCAAGGGAAAATAACTCTAAGGTTATTTGTTCTATGAACAAAAGAGCTAACATTAAACCAGGTGGAAAGAAGCTTTAATAGGTTTTCCCGCTTGATTCATGCCAACATTTTAAACTAGGCTAATGGACAAGTCTCCATTAAGTGGAGAAAAGGTACTTTAAAGGCCTGTACCTTTGGTGTTATTAAAAGATGCAATTTGTTTTGAAGTAAAATGTCCTAAGTTCATTAAGGGATTAGCAGAGGTACTTGCTCTATCAATGAACTACAGGACATGTGATAATAAAAAGTTAGGCATTTCTCTTTTGACTTAAGGCTCTTTCTATGTTCCACCAGTAGCAACATTAAGAAGTAAAGAGGGCAGTACCAGACCATAGGCTGTACACTCAAAGGATCTTATACAAATCAGCACTATCCTGTTTGTGGAAATAATGAGATAGTCTGTAAAAAAAGTTTGAAGATAAAGCTGACAACTATATGAAACATAGGCATGTAGATGGAGATAGAAACAATGAATAAGATTTTGAAAGGGATTACATGACGTGTCTGTGAATGTAAGTAGGGACTTGCTAAGATAGGGATTCTTCAGTTCTCTCACAGCCATTTTTGTATATAATGAAACCCAACCAGATTCATTTAGATATTTCTAATATCTCTGGAAAAGGAAGAAAAGACAGTTTCCTTTGGATCCTGCCTTTTAAAAAAGATTTATTTATTTTTAATTATGTGTATGTGTCTGTGTGAATGTGCACATGAGTGTAGGTGCACATGGAGGCCAGAAGAGGGCGCTGGATTCCCTGGGCTGGAATTACAGACAGCAATGTGGGTGATGGGAATCAAACTGAGGTTCTCTACAAGAGAGGTACACATTTTTAATCACTGCACCATCTCCCCAGCTTCCTGAATCGATCATCTTTTAATATCTGAAAGTCTGTCACTGTATGTGTAAATTGTACTAATTTAATACATATTAAACAGGAAATATATGAAGCCACTTTCTCCTATTTTTTCTCTTTTCTTCTCACTCAAGAGGTGTAGCCACTGAGAACAGATTGTTATTCCTCTCTGGCAGTCTTTCTTTTCGGCATGGTGCTTGCTGTTTCAATGCTAGAGTTTTGATGGGGCTTCTCTAGTTTCTTGCTGCTTTCCCTGAGGACTTGCACAAGCTTGACAATGTAGGCCTGTTTTAGCTCCAAACTATGGGACAGTGTCCTGTATTATAAAATTTTAGAAAGGAGTCCTGCATAATATTTCTTCTTAAAAATGTGGCTATTATCAAATGAAAATACTTATCAAAATTCTATTGAGGAAAATCTTTGTTCATGTGTAAATAAGCATTGGACACATATGCCTATCTCTGAGTTCAAACATTTTCTGTGAGGAGGACAAAGAAACTCGGGCACTTTGCAATGGCAGAAGCTAGTAAACTTGGTAATAGGATATTTTAATGACAAGGAAATTACCTAAGACTTGCTGTGCTGGGGCCAGGGACAGCTATTCACAAGTTCTGATCTGAACCATGTGTTTGACAGGACAGCAGCAGTGACTGCCTCTGCCCCCTCATGAAACACAGGGTGACAATGTGGTGGGCTTTCCTCTTTGCTCCCAGCTGCTCCTTCCAGACCTCTACCCTCACACCTGTGGCAAAAAACTTACCACAAGTTTCTTCTTGTCCCTTGTTCTTTGTTATCTTCCACTGTCATTGGCTTGGACTCATCAAAAAGCACCAATCTGCTATAAACCTGGGTGACTTCTATAGCCCCAATCTGCTATAAATCTCAGGTTGATGTCAATGACCCATCTAACTCTCTGTTCTCATGTTTCCTTGGCCTCTTCCCCTCTTCTGATATTTGCCGATATGCTATGTGGTCTTTTGCTTCTATTCACTCCTCTCCATCTCTATCATAATTCTCAGTCCATCATACCAATACTCTGCTCCCACATTTCTGAACTGATTTGTAATTGTCCTTCCTCCTTCGTACAAATGTCACCTTTACACCAAATTTGCATTGTACCATGCAGCATGGTAAAACCAACATGAGGTCATTTCTTCATTAATGTATTTTGATGATATTTCAGTGTTGTAGCATGCAGATCAAAGTCATGCTATAAACCATACAGTCCTCTTCCTACCTTTCTCTGGAACTGTGAACACCCTGGTCACTGTATTCTCTAGGAATGGTTTGTGTGCATGCGTGTGTGTGTGTGTGTGTGTGTGTGTGTGTATGTTGTGTGTGATAATGGGGGCATTTGTGTGGGAGTGTGTGTGCATATGCACATATGGAGGTCAGAGAACAACCTTGGTGTCTCTCCTCAGGTACTTTCCACCTTTGGTTTGAGGCAGGATACTTCAATGGCCTGAAACTTTGCCAGGTTGGTCAGGCTAGGTGGCCAGTGAGCTTCCAGGAACACACCTATCTGCACTTCCCATCTCGCCATCTCTGGAGTTATAGGCACTCACCATCAAATCTAGCTTTTTATGTACACTTAGGGTTCTGAACTCAGGTCCTCACACTTGAGTGGCAAGCATTTTACTTACTGAGCCTTAGCACCTAATAATGGCTCTTAACAGTACTATTGAATATATTTTCTTGGATCATCTTTACATGTAATTGATTCTTGTTTTTTCTATTGCTACTTAATATGAAGCAAAAATACATTGTAGCAAAGAGTCTTACATAGTTTAAAAATATTTTGATTATTATTTTTATTTTATGTGTATGAATGTATTGCCTGCATGTATGTAAGTACACTTCTGTTGTGCAATGCCCATGGAGGTCAGAAGAGGGCATCAGAACCCCTGGAACTGAAGCTATAGGTGGTTGTTAGCCACCATGTGAGTGCTGGGAACCAAATCCGGGTCCTATGCAAGAACAGTCAGTGCTCTTAACTACTAAGCCATCTCTCTAGCCCCATTCTTTTATAGAATTTACTTCACAGCTCACCTATAGTGATAAAGCATGATACAATAGGATTTTGGTACAAAGAAAGGTGCCATAGTTGAACTCATCTTGTGTTTATGTTGCTAAGTGTATGGCATAATTTTACAATGTCCCAAGGGGCAGAGTTATGCCACAGGAGAACTTAGCCCCCATGTGCTTTGATTAGGAAGCACAGGACTATAATAAAATAGTTATTTTTTTTAAACCTTTCCTCAAAATCTGCTACCTTTGAGACAAGAAAGAAATTTTCTGTGCAGTGCCCTCAGAGGACAGAAGAGGCTGTCGGATCCCCTGGGACTGGAGTGATGGACAGTTGTTAGCTGTTGTGTGGGTTCTGGGATTCGAACTCAGGTCCTTTGCAAGAACAAGCAGTGTTCTTAACTGCTGAGTGATCACTCCAGCCCCGAAGTTTTGAAAGTTTTAAAAATACTTTTGTTTGCCAAGAAGTTAAACTAAGGGAAATTAGGTACTTGGAACTCTTTGCATGAAAATGTTTTCCAAACTAATGTCAATGCTGAATTAGCTTCTATATGGAAACCAAGATTAGAAGGGCATCGTGTAAGTGGCAACAGGGGCCCAAGTGTGTCATATGATTGCAGGCATATCATTAAATATCATGCAGGGCATGATGCAGTCTGATTGAAACAATTAATATAGTGGCATATCAAATATTTGTGAATCACTTTTTTATTGGGAGAGCAAGTTGAGTGTGAAAAGCTGCTCCTCTTTATTTTTAGATGAACTAACCCAAGAGGTCATTTAGAGTTTCCTGTTTTCCTTCTTTCAGTGTTGAATTTCAGTGATGATCATTTTTCACATGTGCAGCTGTTATGAACGCAAACGTTAATATTCTATGGGAAGGAAATAATGGGAACTGATTATAGTTGTGCCAGAGCAGCCCTCAGCCACTCCCATGTTTTGGTTCTCGGGATATCCACGGAATGTCTTGCAGTCATGTATGGATAAAACTCTATGTTTCAAAAAGATGTCCTGGATATCTCTTCAGCTCAGCCTTGGATGTCTTGTTTTTAAACATCAAAGCTAATCCATAAAGGGAAAAAAATCTATTTTACAGTAGAGCATGGTACTTTTCTCCTTAGATAAGTGGGTAGATGATGAGCCTTTTCTTTGGAAGCACCATGAGCTTAGTCCTTTTTTTTTCCAGTCAGCTTCTTGTATGACCGATTGGAATGTTGTCTAGTTTTCAGAGCGT